AAAAAAAAAAAAAAAAAAAAAAAAAAAGAAAAGAAAAAAATTGCCAAAAAAAAAAAATTCAGTTATATATAATTTTCATTAGAAAAAAAAAATTTTCTCAAAGATCATCTTCCTGAGCAGTGTTCAAACAGATGTACTGTTCATCGTTTGTCTGTTTCAACTGTTTTACAGTTCATCTTCGCTGCTACTGTTGTTGATAAATCCTGAATTACACTGATGACGATGTGTTGCTGTATTTATTGGATCCTGGCTAACACACTGATAATCATGCTTTGTTTCCGCTGATTCTTGGCATATCCATTCGGTAATCCATAACAGGAACAGTGAAACCAATAAAGCTACTGGTACAATTGCCGTTAATGCAATTGTTATAAACTAAAAAATGAAAAAGGTGAGGGAAAAAAGCAGTAACAGAATGTAATACTAATCAATCTAATCATAAAACCAAAAAAAAAAAAAAAACATTTATTTTGTTTTAGTCATTCATTATTTTAATTCATTTTTGTCTTTACTTTGTTAAAAGATAAAAGCAATAAATTCATGAAAACATAAATTTGCTGTTTGTCTGACAACAACTGTGCAACTGATTCATTATGTAAAATAAATTTGAACATTCAGAAGTTTTTTGTCTTTATAACATAATTGTACAAGAAAAGAACAATATGCAAGAAGAAAAAAAAGAGCAAAATAGATTTGTACTGTTTTTTGGTAATCAAAAAATAATTTTTGATGTTTTCAAAGGATTAAATACACTGTACATTTTAAGTAACAATCAGTCATATTCTTCACTTGCAACAGTTTTATCAGCCAATAAACTGTTTTCAGTACAAAAAAAAAATTTTTTTTTTTTTAAACAGAAAATCCCAGCAAACCTTAGTTTCATCAGCTTGAAGCCATGCATATTCAGTACTGGGTAATGCAAGTGCTGGAATAAAACAGTTCAACGAACCGTTGTTTGCTGCTTCAAAAACGCCAAGCACATAAGACATCAACGAATACAGTGCAACATTGTCAACTATGCTTGTTATCTGCCAACAAAACCAGGCTATAAACCGACAGTGGTTCCATGGATAATGAGTGTTACAACTGCTGAACGTTTTGTCAATCAAATTGTACTTTAAAAAAAAAAGAAACATATGTTCGCCTAACCTTTCGCTGTTTTTTAAATGCTGGTCCTTTCATGATCAACATAGATCGCATTGTCCAATGATTTGAATCTAAGCCAGCAGTTGCAAGCGGAAATTTATCAGACGCTTCATCCTGTAGAAAAAGTTCAGTTTTCTACTACTCTCCACAAAATTTTAATTTTCATAATATCAATAAAATTTGAAAACAGGACAAGAATATGTGTTAAAAAAATCTTAAGCATAACCGTAGCCAAAATTAGGCAATAATAATTTCACCTTACTACATCGCTCCTGTATCATATAACCAACATTTGGTATCAGTATAATATCGCCAATATAGCTACTCGTCGAGTAATGATAACGAGCTGGTATATCCTCCAAAAAAGTTTAACATTCCATTTTTTTTCTTGCAAACTGATAGTATTTATTTATGTGAATGTATTTTTCTCTCTTTTCCATTACATTTTTTGCAAGGAAAAAGACAACGAAAAAATTTGTTTTTTTTTTCCCCTTTAATTCTTCTTCTTTTCATATTCATCTTTCAAAATAAAGTAGAAAAGAAGAGCAGAAGAATAAAATGACATAGAAGATGTGTAAATAAACCAAACATTTTTCTTATAAATTTCAATTTTCAGTTTGTCAGCAAGAATCGCTGTTTTCAGGGTCTCATAAATTTTAGCTCTAGCCACTGAATCCTTCACGTATAACATATGATCGCCATACTGAATTTTTGTCATATCAACATAATCAGCCAAACACAGCACATTTTTACGACTAACAACCTATAAAATGTCACTTTTTATCTTCTGCCACAATTACTGTTGCTACTTTTTTCGCTTTCCTCAAAAAAAAAAAAGAAATGTTAAACTCAAATTTACTTTAGTTTCCAACAAAAAAAAAACATTTCTTGACTCCGTATTGCAACACTATCAAGCATTCTTTTCAACAATTTTTCAACAAAGAAAAAAGGAGACTGGTCCTATGAAACAACTAAACAAAGCAGGCAAGCCTAATCAGATTTCTCTTTGAAAAAGTTAAGAGATAATCAGTTTAAAGTTTATGAACAAACAAGCAATCTTAGTTGCAAGCAAAAAAAAAGTAAAAGTCAGCATTTAGACACTCATACTTCCTGAGTTTGCTGGCCAAAATTTTGCTGTCTAAAAAAGAAAAAAAAACGAAAAACCAGCAGCAGCTAACTCACTTCAGCATATCCATGGTCCGCAGTCAAAATGATATTTAGACGTTCCTTAAGCTCTGGAAGATCTTCAAGTTTAGAAGCTGTATATGCAAATAGTTCATCCAAATTTTGTAACGTTTCTAACAGTTTAGCTTTCCGAAAACCGTAATTGGGAAATACATTTTCTAGCTGTCCAACATACCTTAAACTTACATCGATATTTACACCAATTTACTCACTGTGCATAAGTAAATGTAACTCATACCGTCATCGTCATCAACTTAATCGTCTTAGAATCTTTATATGTGTACAAAAGTTTTAATTTTAGCTTTTAAAAATTATTGTAGAAAATTTATTGCTGTTATCAAAAATCAATAAAATAAATAAAGGGTAAGTTAAAAAAAAAAAAAAACAATTTTTTTCCCTTCTATTATCACAAAATTTATTTAGCAGCGAAGCAAAGTTTTCTTACTATTGGTAGAGCACCAATTTTCCGCCACCATATAGAAAACAGTATTAAAACTGAAAAAGAAAATATGATATAAATAAATAAAATTCAAATGAAGAAGTTTTTTGCCTTCATAAAGCTATTCTAAATATTGACGACGATAATAACAGCAACAGAGATATACAACCAGACTTTTTTTTTTAAAGCAACATTACAGTAGCAACCTGCTATAAAAAAAATAGTTAGTGGTTTCTTTTATCTTTTTTTGATCCAAAAAATTTACTTTTTAGCCCTTCTCCTTCCCCTTATTTAAGTAATTAATAAGAAAATAAACGATCAAAGTCAGCTTAGGTTTATTTGTAAACAAATGCACATATAGGAGTCTGAAGTGAGAAGAAATTACCAACCAGGCCGCAAAATTCACTGTTCTGTTGTCAACGGTAAATAGTTGAATAATTTCATCCAAATCTGTTTTCCACTGTGCTAAACTTCCTGACTGAGTATAAGGTCTAAAAAACCACTTTTTTAAGCCTTTTTTTATTCACAACTTACATCGTCTCTACACCTATTTGTCGTCCAAGTTTTTCTTCACTTCTTGTTTTTGAAATATACACCGTGAACAAAACATATAGTAACTAAATAATTGAACGTTAAACTTTAGTATTATTTATTATTTCTGAAAAACTATGAGAATATAAGTGGAGACAGAAATATGCTGACTTCTTACAGCAATAAAAATTACTGTGGGCAAAAGTTTGTTCAGTAGAGCCTCACTTGAAATATTTTAATTTACCCGCTATACCCGAATAATGACCATTACCAGCTGGCCATCTGAATATTGCAGAACCACGTTTTTCCCCTGCATTCTGATTTGTTAACCAAATTGGTTCACCCTTATAAAATCTGCTATTTAGAGAATTTTTTACTACGTTTGGTGTTTGTGTTATATTCATCACATCGTACCTGCAATTAGTTTTTCATTTTTGCTCAATTGTTCGTCTAATGTACAATTCCTTAACTGGATTATTTTTCAAAGAAACAAAAAATAAATTTTTTTCTTTCGTGAAGCAACAATAGTACTATGTTGGCTCTTACATCATTTGTTGAGCCTGATCATAAAATCTGTTTGCAACAAGACCATGCTGCTCGACAGTTAAACCCGTAGCAATTGTAGCATGATTTGGTACAGTTAGTGGTGGAAATTGTGGTTTAATCCCTTCAACAAAGTTTACGCCTAAAAGTTAAGTTGTTGTGACTATTCTATCAGAGTTTTCGTCTGATCTTATTGCATAAATACAATCAAACTATGTACAAACAAAAAAAAAAAAAGAGTAAATAAATATAGCAGTTTTACGAGGCAGAAAAAAAAAAGAAAAGAAATTTCTCGTTTTCCTTCTTTTTTTGTTAAACAAAGTTTCATTTACAAAATTCCGATAAAATACTGTTAAAATTGTTTCGTTAAGTGGTTTGTTGTTCATTGAGATGGGAAAGCAAACTATTGAACTTGCGTAGTTCTTTGTTGAAAAAGGACCCAAACACATAAATTAGCGAAAGATGAGAAAAAAAAAAAAGTAGATAAAGCTCATAACTATATAGATTTTTCCCCTTCGAAAAAGCAGTTTTTTACTCCCACTGAACAACATTTAAACAGTGCGCAAAAAAAAATTTGTAAGTTGCACCAATAAACTTGGAAAGAAAACCTTCAGAAGCAAATTTCCAAATGTGTGGCACCAAGGTTTCATTCAACAAGTCGTAACGAAATCCACCAAACGATATCAGCAGTAGCAATGGATTATCGTTCAACTTTGTTGCTGTTATGTTACCGACAAAAACATTGCAGCTGACAATAATTAGAAACACAGTCTGAACAGCCAAAATTTGCATATATCGCCTTCTTAATGGTCATCTACAATTTTTGCAGACAAGCTGAACTTCTTTGTAACTAAAAGCGAAGCTGAAAACAACATTACTTTATAAAATAAGAGCTCTTCACATAAAAAATACGAAGAAAAAAAGTTATACAAAGAATTCTTATGACATATCGCATCTTATGCTGATTGATCATAGGTTTACTTTAGTCCACCAAACTTGTCATCACTCAAATCCCATTTTCTTTTTCTCGTTTTGCTCACCTTTTTTTATCCTTTTAACCACCAACAACACTTAAAAACAGTCTCATCTTCGATTCATCTAAATAGCCGCTATAGAGCCAAAAAAAGAGAAAAATTATTTAATCCTGAAACAATTCGAATTTCTAATTGAATTTCTAACACCTTTGTTTGTTCGTCAACCCGAATAACGACAGTTTAAAGACAAAAATTCTGCAGGAGGACAAAAGAATCAGGGAATGACGACGAGGATAACGGGGATAACGAGGAATGTAAAGCAAGAAATATAGAAGAACTGCTGAGAAAATGCGATTGAGATTGAACTGCAGTCATATATAGACAAAAAGAAAACTGTTTTCTGTCTTTGTGGTTTTTTTTTTTAAAACGAAAAAAGTTCTTCCTATTTTTTATGGAAAAGCTACTGCTAAAAAACAGAAAACTTTTTGTTTTTTTTTTTCTTTTCTCTCTTGTTGATCGACAAATGAAATGAAAAACTTGCATTCATTCTGATGTACTATAAAATAACATCATCACCGCCCTTCGATGTATGTGCCACAAATTGATCGTCTCAACATATCATAAACTACCCTATTACAATCAAAAAGGCGTGTAAAACATCAGAAGGAAGAAGCAACTTTTTTGGTCATTATCAGGATGAAGAAGTAGAAGAAAAAAGGTAGAAAAGAAAGCAAGAAGAAGAAGAAGGAAAAGAAGAAAAAAGAGGGAGGAATAAATATTAGCTTAGAAAGATTGGGGGAAGTAGAAAAAAGGAAGGAAATTTACAGAAAAACAGGTTGAAGGAAAACAGGAAAAAATTTTTTGATTATTTGCTTTAACACCTTTTTTACCCTTGCTCTTCGGTGGTATTATAATGAATTAGATGACAACGACGGAGGAGGAAAAAAAGGATAAAGCAAAGGCAAAAAAAAAAAGACTATTTTTAATTCCACCGTTCCTCACTTTTTCATACCTTCTTTTTTCTGTTTTTTTCTTTTTTTTTTTTTGCTTGTGTATCAGCATCAAAAGTTTCAGAGCAGTTTTGATGAACGTATCATCAACAATGTCTGAGGCAAAAGCTGATGAAATGAACGGAATAAAGGGCGGGGAAAACAGAAATAAAGGCAATTTTTTTGCTTTGCACTGTTCTGCTTTTTTTTCTGCTTCAGCATATTCAACTTTTGTTGACCATGTGTCTAAAAAACTTAACAGGAACGAAGAGGAAGCAGACAAACGATGCAGTAAAGGCCGATGAGATTGAAACGATATTTGAATAGCACGAGAGCAGAATCGTTGTTACGGAAATTCAAAAAAAAAAAATAGTGGAAGAAAACAGTATCTACATTAACAATAATAACGATAACAATAATAATAATAATGATAATAAACGGTAACACTGACAACACCAGTAGCCTAATAATAACGATGATAAAAAATTATAGTGACAGTACAATAGAAAAAACTTTCTCCGACGGATGAGTTTGAAGATAACGAAAAGAGGAAAAAAGTGAAAAGGCGAGAGATCGGGGACGTTGGGGTCGAGGGGAGAAGCGACGAGGGAAATGGGAGAAAGAAAAGATGAAAAAAAATTGATTGTACCAAAAAGTATAAAACAGTTTTAATTTCTGATTCAAAGTATTGATTGATGTTACAGGGCTGATATCACTTTAATATTAATCGAACACACCGAAC